ATCCATCGATACGCGTAACACGAAACACGAACTTCTTGACTTCTGTTGGTTCGAGTTTGGATGAGAAAGATGGAATTTAATAATTCTGGGTCCGTTGATTAAAGATGGGTGATGATCGTTGCAAGAATCCGTCGTCGTAATTTAGCGTAGCAAGGATGTAGCTCTTGGTTTTGGGGAAGAGAGAAACGCTTAAAATTCGATTATACGCGACGACGTTGCGCGATATTTTGCGTTTGAAGGTAGACAAATTTTCCGTGGAAAAATGGTTGGACTTGGTATATAAAAATGTTTCACTTTTTTCCCATACAAAGCGCAAGATACGTTTAAAATATGAAAATGTACTTTTTTTTTTAAATAGTATCGTATTATTTCTTCCGCGTAGATAAGTCTTGTAAAATGTGTACAAAGAGTATTAAAAGTAGGAATATTGAAAAATTGGTAGGTATCCGGTGAGATATTTCAAATTTTTAAAATGTGTTGAAAATATATATATAAATAACTAAGGATAATTTTTATTAATTTTTGTGTCGTCTGTTATCCAAGCAATTAATAATAAATTTCACAATTTACCAAGTTTTAATGAAATTTAATAAAGGCTAATTGTCTCGTGTTTTTTATTACCACGTAATTACCATATTTACCGCAATCCTAATAAATTACTCTTAATTAAATCCACTTCGACTTGTATTTCGAGCTAATGTATCGATTGAGCAGAGGTAGAATTGTTTTTTGTCCGCCATTATGCCTGTTCAATCGAAGTAACCAGAATTAATAAATGATCGAACAAACTGCATAAAATTCTATCGGTGGCGAAACAACGTTACGAACGTTATAAATTTCTATTATTTTCTCGTAATTCATCAATTGTATTATACGTTTCCAATTATAAATCTCGTAATTATCGCGTATATGCTTTTTATCCATATCGGACCGTTCCGATTTATTTTATCGTATTTCATCTTTTTCGAGTGAAATCAATATAGATGCGAATCGATCGCGTGGAAAATAATCAGCTCCCTCTCCCGAGTAATAACGGGGAGTAAATTCGACACGTAGCACGCGTAACGAACGTGGCGGTATCTGGTGAACGAAGATAAAAGCAACGCGCATCGATACACGTCCGGATCATCGTGTGTCATCGGAAAGTGGACAGTAATGCATAACGAGCACACGCGCGGTCAATTCCGTTATCGAAACGGATGGCTTTATTAAACCCATTATTCACTGGTCGTAATTTATCACGATAACATTGCGTTTTAAGGATGATTATACGATGGTCAAGAAGGATGATGTGTATCTGCCGATTACGCGTGCCCTCTGTTGATCACGTGATCGATTACTCGAGCGACGACAACATGTCGACCTTATTTTCCATACAAACAGTGAACGCGTTCGACACTCGAAATGCATACCATCGCCGATACGTTATATATATATATATATA